CAGGGCCTGGGATTCTGTAGTGAGACCTAGCAGAAAGCCATTTGGAGTCCTGCCTGACCACAGTGGGGGCAGGGTAACTCTGCATGTTTCTAGGGGAGGGGGACAGATGACATGCCAGAGAACCTTCTGGTGCTAAAAATAACCACAACTACTATTCTGTCCAGAGCTTCCTCTTGGACAGCTGTTGGTTAAAGGATTTATATTTGTTTACTCTCAAAATGATGTCAAGGTAGGAGTGACTGTTTTATAGAAGTGGGAATGGTAACTTGGAGAGATCAATTTGTGTGAGGTCGTACAGCTGAATGGCAGAAAGTGAATGAAAACTCGGACCTGTTTGCTCTAGAAGCCTAAACAAACCACTGCCATATTGCTGGGTCAAAAGGGTTCTTAAATAGCACTTACTTTAACTCAAGCTGGCCTAGAATGCCAAGCATCCCTGCTTAGCCCAGGCCTGCCCTCCTAGCTTTTTTTTTTTTTTCTGGCACTCTGGCCCCCATCCCTACTTTGCAGGAATGAATTGCTTGGAAATGACCAATTGGCTTATTGCCTCCCCCACAGATACTTAGGACCAGGAACAGAGCAGGTGCTTAAAGAACCATGTTGAGGGGGCTGGAGAGATGGCTTAGTGGTTAAGAGCACAGGTTGCTTTTGGAGAGGACCTGGGTTTGATTCCCAGCACCCACATGACAGCTAATAACCATCTACAACTCCAGTTCCAGGGGATCTGACACCCTCTTCTGACCTCCGTGGGCGTTATAAGACATAGGTGTATTTACACACATGCAGGCAAAGCACTCATATACATAAAATAAAAATAATAAATAAAATATTTAAAAAAGAACAATATTGAAGGATTGGCATGTCTGCTGCTCGATTGGTAGAGAACTCACCTAGCACGCACAAAGCTCTTGGTTCCATCCTCAGTGCTGTTGCATAAACCAGGTGTGGGAGACACATATCTGTAATCCCAGGATTCTCAAGGCGGAGTCAGGAAGACTAGGAGTTTAACGGTATCCTCAGCTACATAGAGTTTGACGTCAGTCAGGATTACACGAGACCCTGTTTCAAAAACAAAAGTTGGTAGTGTACACCTATAATCCCAGCACACTGGAGGCAGAGGCAGGTGTATTTCTGTGAGTCTGAGGTTCAACCTGGTCTACATAGTGAGTTCCAGGATAGCTAGGTCTGAGTAGTGAGACACTGTGTCAAAAAAAAAAAAAAAAAAAAAAAAACAAAACCAAAACAATAACAAAAGCCAAACCAAATGATGACAATAACAAAGAAGCAACCAGATAAAAGTATTTCTTTTTGAAATATTTTATTTATTATTATTTTTTTTGTCGTTTTGAGACAGGGTCTCCCTGTAGCCCTAGCTGGCCTGGAACTCACTATGTAGACCAGGGTGGCCTTGAACTTACAGAGATCTGCCTGCCTCTGGCTTCCCGAGCGCTGGGACTAAAAGAATGCACCACCATGCCTGACTTATTTATTATTTTTATTTTATGTGTATGTGTGTATTGCCTGCATGTATGTAAGCGTACCCTTGTTATGCAATGCCCAAAGAGGACAGAAGAGAGCGTCGGATTCCCTGTAACTGGATAAAGATGGTTGTTAGCCACCAGGCTTTGGGGAGCTGCTGAGACCTGCCCTGGAGGGTCCATGTGGGCTCTGTCGTTTTCAGTCTTGAGGTCACTAAGAGCAAGGCCAGGATGGCCCACCCTGATGCTGCCCATCCCTAGCACTCTGTGTCCCCAGGCATGGCGGCCTGCCAGGAGCTGAGAGGAGCAGTGTGGCCTGCTTCTCGTCCCCTGTCAAGTGTCATCTTTGATGGTTTGGACCCAGCCTCTGCTTTCCGGACAGTCATTTTGTACCTGTCAGGAAATAACTCAGTGTTTGAGTTTTCCCAGGAGGAAAGCCAGAGTTCCCACAGCTTCTTCAGAAGGACTGAACTTGAGAGCTCTTTCAAGAACCTAGGTGTTTGGCTTGGGCTGAGGGGGCTGGGGGCCCTTCTGCCAGCGTGAATACTGGGGTTACCCTGAAGCTCTTTGTAGCAGCAGATATCTGCTCTGGCCTGGGGTAGGATTCTTTGCGTGTGCTATATGCACACACACATGCACACATGCACACATGCAGGCATCCATGTGTATGTACTATAGCACTGACAAACACAGACATGTAATACTGTCTTTATATCCCTACGCATGAGCAGTACAAGCCCAGGCTGTACATACACCAAGTTCAACACAGGCATACATCTGTACAGGGTCACGCTGCTCGCTAGACTTCTGGAAGGGCTCCATGGCACCCTTATGCAGGGAACCAGGAGAGTGGGGGCACATTCTGAGCTCTCTGCTTTCTCGAGTCTTCTTCTGGAACTCATTGGTCCTTTCTCAGGAGAGCTGGGCTTTTCTCTATGCTCCCTGTTGGCATTGTGGGAACTCCTGCAGCAGTTTGACAGAGCCACATCGCTGACCCTTGCTTTCTGCTGGGCCTGGAGAGAGGGCAGAGTGTCTGCCCATGGCTCCCAGCCTGTTCTGTGGCTTTTCTACCCCTCTCAGGCCCAAGTGGGGTGACTCTGGTCCTCGAGGCCTGACTCAAGTTCCTTTTGCCTCCAGTCCATGGCCAGAGCTGCAGGACTTATTGCTCTGGTTGGGGCTGGTAAGGCTGGGCACCATGGCTTGCACAGTCTGTGGTCTGGCCCTGAGATACTTCCAAGCTCCCAAGCCCCTATTCCTGAGACCTGTCTGCTGACCCCAGGCTATTGGAGCCAGAAGGACTGTGATTCTGTGATCATAGCTGTTTCTGAAGATGCCTCTGCCCTGGGTGTTTCTGCTGGGTCCAACAAGAGCACAGACTGGGTGCATGGTAAATACATATCAATGATAGGCCAGGCATGTGCTGGAGTCAAAGACAGGTCACACATGCTCTGACCCTGCAGGTTCAGTCTACAGAGGCAGACAGCCAGGGAATCAGTGACTGCTTAACAGTGTGTGTGAGGACACTATGATGTTTATGTTTGTATGTTACTGTGTGTGTGTGTGCGTGCTCGGGTGTGCTGAGGGCACACTGTCCTGGAATGTGCCTTCAGATTAGCAGGGGCACCGTCTGGGGACCTGATTAGGTGGGGAAATGGGGATGTGACAGAGGGAAGGGAACTGTGTCTAAGTATGGGGTCCAACAGTGAGCCACACACTGTACATGGGTCTCAGGTCCCCAGCTCAGTGGTTCCTCCAACACCTCTCCCAATGAAGATGAGACCACCTCCATGGGTTAAGAAGTTGAAGTTGGAGATCAGAGAGTTTAGTTTACTTTCCCCAGGCTACATAGCCAATGAACTATGGGCCCATCTGATCAAAGTTTGGCTGGACTCAAGGTGGGGTGTGCTTAAGTCCCTCTTAGAGCTTTATCTTTCCTCTGCTCCTTACACACCTGGGGCTTGAGGCCTTGGGCCTCAGTTTTCCCATGCATTAAAATAGGGATAATGAAGGCTGGGGATGCGGCTCAGCTGGTAGAGTGTTTGTCTGGCACGCATGAAGCCTTTGGTTCCATCCCCAGTACCACATACACAGGGCAGGGTGGTCCACACCGCATTAAAATAGGGATAATGAAGGCTGGGGATGCGGCTCAGCTGGCCTTTGGTTCCATCCCCAGTACCACATACACAGGGCAGGGTGGTCCACACCTGTAATTCCAACACTAGGGAGGTGGAGACAGGAGATCAGAAGTTCAGGGTCATCCTCAGCTACGTATTGAAATGAGATTAAAAAAAAAAAAATTAGTGACAGGCAGGTGAAAATCTTGCTCCATAGTGATGAGAACCTGACCTGACCACCCCAGGAATCCTTTGGGTTGCAAGCCCCTCCCCTGGATGATTAGAATCCCCTGGCCTGACTTTAAATAGAGGCGGGGACTATCTGCCTTCATCCGGGTCTCGCTTCCTGGGCAGTATGCCAACGCCCCTTTAACTCTGAAAGGGGTCACGGCAGGTAGAGGCAGGTGAGGAAGGATTCGCAAGTATGGGACTGAACGGGAGGAAGTGACTCACCCCACACAACAAAGAGGGTCTCCCTGGAGGGAGCAGGGATCGGCGAGTGGACGCACGTGGGTACCCGTGGGGCAGAGGCCGAGGAGTAGCCCCCCCAGGGATTGAACCCAGCAGTAGCCAGATTGGGGATGTAAATAGGGGAGCGCCACAGGGGAGGGGGTGGGTGGAGAAGGTACCATCACTTGGAGGCACGGGATGGGGAGGGAGTCCTCCTTTTCCAAAGTCCTTGTACTGTGATTTTCCTAAGCCCGCCATTAAGCAGACGGTCTGCTCTTTAAGGGACATCTAGGGAGCCGGAGCCCAGAGACGTCAGATCCCTAGTTCAGGTTGTATAGCACGGAGAAGGCTGGTTCTGCAGGCCAGGAACTCTTCCTAGTTCCGTCTCGTAGCTCTTGGGATTTTATTTTATTTACTTTATTATTTGTTTATTTGGGTTTTCGAGTTCTGGCTGGCCTAGAACTCTCTATGTAGACCAGGTTGGCCTTGATCTCACAGAGGTCCGCCTGCCTTTGCCTCCAGAGTGCTGGGATGAAAGGCGTGCGCCACCACGCCGGCCTCAGCCTGAATTTTCAAAAGCAGAGGGGGTGAGGGGTGAGGGAAGCCGGGGTCACCGATGTCCCGGGACCAGGAATCCGGGAGGGGGTGTGGCACCGCCAGCCTACGCCGCTTCCTCCAGCCAACCAGGCTGGAAGCCGTGCTTGGGCATCTTCCAGAAGGAGCCGAGCCGACCGGAGAAGGGGAACTGGCTTCGCGGGCAGTCTCTCCCTCCCCCAACTTTTCCTCCTGGCGCAGGGCGGGCGGGGGGAGGAAGGGAGCGGACGACCCGGGCCCTCCGGGAGCTGCGGCTGGGGGATGCCCTTTGGGACGCATTGGGGTGAGTGTGTCTTTAAATCCGCGCCCCCTCCCCGTGGGCGGAGGCTGGGGCTGCAGCGGGCTGACTGGCCGGGCAGGGCGCGGGGTTTGGCGGCGGGCTGGCGCACTGGGCTGGTCCCTGGCGTGGGGGGACAGGGACGCGGGGCACGGCGCGCACCGGTCAGGCGATCGATCGCGGGTGCTCCCCTTCCGTGGCCTGGTGGGGTCGGCGCGGCCTGGCCGCCGCGGGAGCCGCCTTCGCCCCCGGATGAGCCGAGGAGGGTGGGCCGAGCGAGTCGGAGCGGGTCTTGGCGCCCGCAGTCCCCGGCCGCAGCAGCGCGACGCCCCCATCCCCGGAGCCGGGGCTGGCAGGTACGCTAGCTTGGGGCGCGCAGAGGGGCGAGCGAGGGTTCCCCGGCCGCGGGGCGCAGACGACCCGGCCACCCTGGCCTGCTATGCGGCGGGAGCCACCGCGCTGCCCCAACCCGAGCGGTTCCCTGGTCGTGCGCAGGTCAGTCCGGGCTCAGCCCTGGCCCCTAGTTTCTCTGATAGGCATCTGCGTGGGCTGGCTCTACCCGCTGCTCCTTGCCGGCCCCCATGGCTAGTTGGGCTTCCAGAAGTTGGGGAGTGGACAGCCCGGGTCGCGACCCAGAGATGGGGTTCCCAGACTCACCTGCAGGGCGCTTGGGGCCCATGGGCATCGAGGAGCCAAAGGGCCCTGTGGGCATAGGCTTTTATTCATGGCCCTGTCTGGCTTCTTCCTCTGTGAGCCTGGGTTTCCTTGGTATGAAGTGCGTGCGTTTGCATGTGGGTGTCCATCTATGCATTTATCAGCTTCAGAGGAACCTCTCGCCCCCCAAAGGGACTTGTTAGAAAAGGTAGAGTGCATGAGAGACCCGCTGTTCCCACTCATTGTAGTGGCCAGGGTGCTCTTATCTTGGAAATCAGAGGCCTCTTAACCCTGGAAGCTTGGGGCATCCTTTCTGTCCCAACCAGAGCCAGGACACCAGCTCCTTGGCTCCCCGCAGCCAGTGACACTTGTTAGATGTGGGACTCTGGGTCATGCCTAGACAATGTGGCAGGGGGGAGGACCTGAAGGGTTCTGTTCTCATGTGTCACTGCCCTGTGGGGGATGACAATATAGAAACACACAGCAAGTTCTTGATAAGTTTCTGTGACCATGCCAGGAGACTACTCAGGGGAATTGCAACAATAATGCTCCAGGATTGCTGGGGTTGCTGGGCTCCATTTCTAGAACTTTATAAATGTGTTTCAGTATTCTTTCCACCCTCCTTGCTAGCATGCCAGTAATCTAGACGTCTTTTCACCCCAGGGCAGGGAGCACAGGAGGGCTGACAAGGACTTGTCTGCAAGTGACCCACTCCACTCCCAGATTTTGTTTTCTCCTTAGTTTTTCCTGGTCAGATGGCCCACAGGTCTCTCCCAGCTGCTCTGAGATTTGGGGTTAGGGCCAGCCCTGTAGGAGGTTCAGAGACAAGCTGAAGGAAGTCCTAACTTCCTTTCTTAAGAGCATCCATTGCAGGGAGTGGAGGGGAGGCTGGAAGGCACTGGCCAGTCACAGTTTCCGGTGAGGGCAGATAGGCCTGAGGTAGCCTAATGTGCTGGTTCCTTTCTCTGTCATTGGGATGGGCAGAGTGGGGTCTAAGGTGGCTCTGAACTCCGCAGTGAGACTCTGCTGTGTCTGTCACTCTGCTCTGCCCCCATTGTCCTTGCTGACTCTCTTCTTTTCTGGAATACTTTGGGGAGGTGGAGAGGTGGTTGTGTGTACCTGTGTGCAAGGAAGTTCTTGGGGGTTGTTCTACAAGTGGGGGCTATTGAACTTATCAAAGCCCTTGACTGGCTCTGTGGCCCACACCCAACCACCTTGAGGATGCAAGTTGGGGTGCCATGTGGGCAGAACATGTGGTCATGTCAGGTATACAGTCCTGTGGGCAGGCACATGGAGGAACTGGGTATGTGTACCTGAGAACAGACATAAAAAGGCAAAGGGGTGGATGGGCACCCCAGGGACATAGACACGTGCGGGGACAGGTGTGTGTGGGCATGTAAACAAGGACTACCTTTGGCCACAGATACATAGACAGGTCTGGGTCCTTGAGTTGCGGTGGTCTCCTCACATAGGCAGCAGGTGTATAAGGGCAGCCAGACAGATGGACTCACCTGAGCACAGATATGGATATGAACTGACATTTGCAGACACCAGACTCTGGGTCACAAGAGGCTCAAATACCAAGGCAGACATGAAGCCAGCTGTGGGCCCCAGCAAGATGCATATACTGACCAGAGTCACCTGCCAATTGAACTGATGTCTGGACAGCTGTGGGTGCTGAGATGTAATTCCAGAGGAGTGTTGCTGTGGGTGTGGGGGTGGAGCCAGACATCCTGGTGTGACAGGTGCTCAGGTGCTCTGCCGTATTGGAGGATGACCTTGAACTCCTGATCCTCCTTGCTTCCACCTCCTGGGTGCTGGGATGACAGGCCTGCATGACCACACCCTGTGTATGTGGTGCTGGGGATGGAATCCATGGCGTCATGAGTTCACTGTACCAATTGAACCACATCCCAGCCTGGGTACAGTTTAATTTCTAGAGTCCCATGTTGGGGTTGGTTGGTAGACCCCCCCTCCAAAAAAAGGGCTCAGTATTTCACTCTGAGAGGCATATAACCTATGGCCCCTATGTGCCTGTGTAGGTTTGAGCACATCCTCTGATGTCTCCAGGATCTTTATGAACTTTTCTGTGGCCCTGCATGGTGCTTTAGCTGCTCTTGGCTCCAGGACCAGGAGTCTGGCTCTGGGGTTTTCCTGCTGAGCCCAAGCCTTTGTGTCTCAGGTTGCTGCCTCTGAATGCCCTCACAGATGCGTGGAAGGGTCTGGGGTAAGAATCATAGCCTCTGTTGCAGACCCCCTCCCCCCAAGCCCTAGGCTTGGATTTAGCATGGTCTCTCTCCCACTTCTGACTGTTCATGTTCCCTCTACCCAACCTGGCATCTGGAACCCAGCCCCAACCCAGATATGTTTGACACCAGATGCTCTTGTGACCTTCCGCAGTTACTTAATGTTTTAGTTGCCTCATTTTAACTCTAGCTCCCTGGGGACATCGGAGGGTTAAATGGGAGACAGTTTGTGGAAAGCTCCTTGACTCTTTGTCAGCGTGGGTGGGACCAGGGCTCCCTAGAGATTCTTAGGCAGCCAGGTGGCTGACCCTGGGGCCTAGGCAAGCTGGACGGCTAGCACCAGATACCTCTAAGATGGAAGCTACTGTCCTTGTTGTCTCCCTGCTCAGAGCCCCTCCTCATCCTAGGAACCTCTGCTTAGGGTCAGGAAATGGCAGGCTGGGCATGTGGAAGCTTGGGCCTGCTGCCTGCTGGGCCTCTGGGAGGGGAGCCAGTGATTTGCTAAGAATAGCCCCAAATCATGGCTCTGGCCACTCGGTGGGCAGTGCTGCCTCTCCCTGGTCCAGACCAAGGCACTGACAGCCTGGCTTTTCATATTTCCTGTGGCCAGGGAGGCACAGGGATGGGCCTGGGAACTGAAGCTCCTATTACACTAGCTCTGCCTCTGGCCAGCCCTGCTGGGACCTGGAAAAGAGAAGGTGGGTGACCACTGGCCTTTGTCACCTCTGGGTTTGTCTTCTCCACAAGGTATCCTGAGAGTATCTCTGACCATCTTCCTACCCACTCCACTCCCTCAAACATGAAGGACATAGATTCCAAGGCAGACCTCCAGCTCTGAATCCCTGCCCTCCCTCCCTCACTGTGTGACCCTTAGCAGTGCACTGAACCTCTCTGTGCCTCATTTTCCTTGTGTAACAGGGAAGAGACAGGGATTTTAGGAATGTCACAAGGACAAACTGTGTGTGGAGATGGCTGGAGACTGTCTCATGGCATGTGCTAGGGAAACAGTGGGTGCTGTAGTCTTTGTTACAGTCACATTTTCTAGCAGAGAGGCCAGTGACATTAGAGGCCAATGATTATACCGTGTCATGTGGGGACAGGGTCAGAATAGCATTTTATTTATTTGCTTATTTATATTTTATGCTTGTGAGTATTTTGCCTGCATATGTGTAAGTGCACCACATGCATGCAATGCCTTGGAGGCCAGAAGAGGGCACTGGATCCCCTGGAACTGGAGTTATGGACAGTGTATTAGTGCCATGTCATGTGGGTTCTGGGAACTGAACCTGGGTTCTCTGCAAAAGCAGCCAATGCTCTTAACTGTTGAGCCATCTCTTGATTAGGCTTCTTGGCCCTGGATTTCATCCGAAGCACAGGGGATCCAGGGGCTGAAGAGAGACGGCTCAATAGGTAAGGTGCTTGAAGACCTGAGTTTGAGACTCAATAAAAAGCTGGGTGTGCCTGTGCGCATTTGTAGTCCCAGTTCTGGGGAGATAGACAAGTGGATTCCTGGGGCTTGCTTGACAACTGGCTTAGTTCATTCTGGCAAAATTCATGAACTTCAGGTTTAGTGAGAGACTTTGTCACAAATTAATAGAGAGCAATTGAGGAAGACACCCAACGCCAACCTCTGGCCTTCATACCATGGCCACACATGTTCATGCATATCTGCACATACATATACACACATACAAATTAAGTACAAGGTATTTATTTTTTTTATAAGCAAATTTTATTTATTTTTAAACTTTTTTTTTTTTTTTTTTTTTTTTTTTTTTTTTTTTGTGTGCAATCATGTGCGCAGCACAGCCCACTAATAGAAGTTAGAAGACAACTTGTGAGAGTTTGTTCATTCCTTCTTTCTATCTAA